GGGAAAGAGCATACAGGATAAAACTCTCTGTCATACAAAGATGACTAGTTTTACTTTGAAAGAATTATATGGAACAAAACCTAAGCACTCACAATGAAACAATGCAAATATATACAAAAGGTTAACAAAAACTTATTCATCATTATGCAAAAGAAGGCCAAGATAGGCTTCACAATACAGCTCCCCGTGTAAAAGCTAGAGGTTACCTAACCATATAAACCAATTTATTAAATTAACAATTGATAAGATGTATAAAGATATTGATACAAATTGGCACCTTATTACCGTTTTCATTCATTTTCTTAGGAAGCAACCAATAAAATTAAAACCAAAAAGCATCTGACGTTATTGCTATCTAAACTAAGGAATATTGAACTTCCACCAACACTATGTCATGGTGCCATCTGGTGAAAAACTGGAAATGCCAACTTGGAGGATGACTCACTCAGCAGAATTAGATGACAGGAGCACATCAAGGCACACATGGAGGGATAGAGAAGGAGCTCATGAAGGAAAGCAACACACACCAACCTGGTGATTCTGAGTGAAACAAGGGCTTAAGGCTAAATAAATGGAAGTGAGAGTGCTAATGGAAAGTATTATGCTCCCCTCTCTTCACCTATACCACTTTGTTTATGCATTCTATTCAATCTTCATAAGTCTGTTCTTAGCTTCCAGATCTCCATATCTGGATAGTACTCCTTCATTGTTATTCTTAATAATAATAGTGCAGAGAAGCATTATAGATATTTGTGTTATTCTAATTATAGGTTCCTTACATGCCACTAAACCCAGATCACTAGCCTGAATTCAAGAAGTTATAAATTCTACACATTATCTCAGAACTGAGTTTTCATGGTTTTATTCTTAATAGTTAATCGTTTAAGGGGGCAGAGGAGGGTGTTAATCAACAAGAGTAGCACATAAAACAATTCTCGGAAAGTGAGCATCAAACTCCCCTTCATGCCTCCCAAGAAAATCGCATAAAAAAAAAAAATGATAATTAAGAACAAGTGAACAACCAAAGAAACATGATTGTGCACCGGAAGCCTACTACACTGTAAAATTCATGTACAGCGTAATCAAATGAATAGATCCAAGCTAACATACATACGCATTTATCTAAACAAATATATGAACTTAGGACAGCAAGCAGAGCAACAGTAACCATGTGTTATAATCTCAATACCCCCCTCTCTCTCTGTATTCTGAGAAATTTTACTTGCTCAATTGTAACTGAAAATTTGAAATGTAATTTCAAGCAAGGTCCAGAACAAAAAGTATCATGAATCAAAACTGTAGACAAAAGACTCAAATAACAACACCACACAAAACAAATGCTATATCATATAACTCAAGCCACTGATTATATCAACAGAGAGAGGTTGAAGCATAAACACAAGACCTTCTCCTTTACAGTCTCTTCAGCCTTAGAAATTTGATGCTGCTTCTGAGTTACACTGGGGTTGGAGTCAACATCGGCCACAAGCTGCTGCTTCCACTCGAACTGCGAGGTGATTATAAGTACAATCAGCAAGAAAACAAGCAACATGGGCCTCGACATGGTTCCTAATTACAGAGTGAACACCTGCTTAACAGTCAAAATCCAATAACCACAAACACACTTAATTAGTTTAATTCCTGATTTATAAAATTAGGGTAACCAGACAGAAGACTTGGACCATCAAATCGCGAAGAAGTGCAATTGAGTTTGCAGAGGGAAGAAGAGAACTTACAGATGGATGTGCGCGAGAAAACCCTAAATTCATTATCGATGGGTAACGAGTTCCGTGTGCGAGGTTAGGGGAAAATGAAAAAGTAATTTTGTGAAGTCAATTGACTCAGTGTGCAAATCAATTTTGGAAGCTTAGAAATTCTTTAGCATCAATGGGAAACAAGTGTAACCTAAAACCGCGCTGCAACTCAGTGTTTCTCTCTCTTTCAACATTCAACTTTCTTTCTTTTCTTGCATCTGTCAACAATTTACGGAAGATGAAAGCCGTGATTCGTTACGGTGGGGAACACCCAACGCTACCCTGCACCCAATTTAACCAAGCCAAAGACAAGTTCCAACCACTATCTTCTACTTGTACACAATGAAATGAGTTGAACTATCTAAATTTAACTTTTTAATTCATAAATTATCTAAATTTAACTCTTTCTATATTCAATAATCAGATTTATTTACTTTAATAATTAAGATCTCCCGTGGTGATTTTCAGTTAGATTCTTAAATTAAAGAAACTTTTAATTAAATCATTAACCCTTTTTTATAATTTTTTTTATGAGTATCTTGAAGTTAATTTATAATAGCTTGAAATGCAAAATAAATAATAATTTGCTCCGATTTTATTAATTCTAAAAATCTAATTGCAAAACTTATTAATGATCTAATAACAATTTTTAAACTTAAAAACTTAATTAATATTTTTAAAAAATTCATGGAGTTGCTGATATACTATTAAACTAATAATTAAACAAGTCTAAAGTCGATTATATAAATAAGTCTTAAGCCAAAGATTTATAAACTTCACATTAAAATTCATAATTTATTCATGAATTTATATTATATTATATTATATATAAAGAAAATATTTCATCTTTACAATTTATGAATAACTTCAATTATTAAGAAAAATAAAAATATTTTTTAATAACTATTATCAACTAACCATCTTTCTCACTATTCTATATTATCTATATTTCTATATTAATATTACATACTAATACATAAAGAAAATACTTTCTTTAATAACCATAGATCATTATATTTTATTATTATTAAAAATAAGTTAAAAAATTAATAATCTTTTAGCAACTATTATTCTCTTTTCTTTTAATAACAATCCACTATAATGAAAATGTTAATTTCATATATAAAAATATAACATAATTTATCTTAAAAATTATTACAATACATAATTGTTATGTTTAAATATTTTTGTTATATTTACATTTTCTGATAACTTATTTTTATTTCTATCCCTCTTTATGACATCTCTTAATTTTATTTTAAATTTTGCTTTATTCTTCTTTTTTCACTCTTGGTTACATAAAAGTTTTTTTGTTTTTTTTGAGGACTGGTTACAGAAAAGTCATGCAACACAAATATAGAGAATTCATAGAGATCTCAACGAGAGAAATAAATAAGGTGTAAAGTACGAAAGAAGTAAGCATGAATCACAACCTTTTTTACTTTAACCTTTATTTGTTTTACATTTTGAATGAAAAATGTAAATATGCTGTTCATATTAATTTAAAACAACTCTATTTGGACCAAATAGGCCCAAAAACAGAACTTAGTCCCAGTTTGCCAATTAAATCATGCTAAAAATTAGTGAAATAACGAGAGGTTAGAAGTCCATCGTTCATTTGTACACGAAATCTGAAAGGCTAATGCAACATATTAGGAAAGAACCAGTTTAACAATTTGCCTATGCTTGCTTGCGTAGCAGTTAGCACTAATCATAATTTACATCTCAAAATTTCCCATGATACTTCACTTGAGTCCACACAATAAAGACCAAAAATATAGAACTATCAAAGTGAAAATGAAGAAAGCAAACATCGCCAAACGGTTGGCTAAGGCACTCTTTGATGAGTGGATTGTGCTTGGGAAACGAACTACTGCAGGAGAATGCTTTGAATTCCCTATCCTTAATCTTATTCTTCGTTGTGCTGTGCCTTGTGCGGGATGCACTTGTGCTGGATCCTGTGCTCTTGTGTGACCCTCTTCTGAGATTGATGATTCATCTAGTTTGATGATATCGTCCTTTAGTATCTCAGCATAACAATCCTCTTCATACGCCTCCTACAATAGAGTCATATGGGCAACAAAATTGTTCAATTTTATCCAATACAATGCTCTCTTTTTTTTCTTTTTTTTTTTAAATCAAGGTATCTCCTATTCGAAAACTAAAGACTAATCACTCAAAGTTGAGATTTATTTAAGGAATGGATAGACCAAAAATTGAACTCATGATTGAATGTTTAAGAGACAAGGTTATCAAACAACTATGTCAAACCTTATTGGTATGCAATTCTAATTAATACAAAGAAGCTGAATCTAGTACAATAACATACCTTTGGTTGATTTGAAGATTCTGTCAAAGTAGCTTCATTAGCTGGTCGCGGATTTGATTCGGAAACAGAATCAATTTGGTCCATTGAACCATAACTGCTACTGCTACGTTTGGAGCTACACCCGACCTCTTTATCTTGCTCACAGACACCCCTTTGATCAGTGCCACCTTCTGAGACAGCACAACCACTCTCATGTGAATTCACGGGGTGCCTTTGACTTGAAGAAGCTCTATTTGAAGCATCGTTCAAACGGAAATCAGTGTTCCTCTTGAGGCGACATATGACCAAAGAATCCTGAAATATATTGTACATTTCTTAGCAGTTACAACATAAAACAAACATACAACTTTGAATCGATAAATTATTAGATAATTCAAACTATCATGTATGTGTTACATTAACATTGACTAGTACTATGAATATAATGGAGTCGTCTACCAAATAATTTCTCCTTTCAAAATGTGGCTTATGTTGATATTGGGTAATATAATAACTACTCACCTGAGACTTGTCATTGATGCAGTACTCATGCATAATCCATTCAGTTCTTTCTCCTTTAGGTGCACGCCCTAAGTGGAACACCAAAGTGCGCTTTGTTCCTATAACGTTAGAACCTGACTTTACATTGCGTTCTTTGCCAGTGGCCTTCCAATATCCACACTCTGTTGCTCTTTTACTTTGAGAACCATTTGGGTACTTTCTTCCACGTGGAGAGAAAAAGAACCATTCGTTATCTGATTGAATGAACGATTTGGCTGGTTCCAAACCAGTATTAATAAGTCAAATGTTTCATATTTCTGTTGAATTTGTACCAGAGCTAAGCATGCATAACAATTTTTAACTACACTATGTTTTCTAGACATATTTAGAAAATGTATATCAGAAAGCTTGAAAAAAAAATTGAACAACTGCAACATCTCATTTCAGATTTTCAGTGCACATTAAAACACAAACTACAGATCTTGGTTTCTTTCTGCGTGCTCTGTTTTCGATTTAGCATGTTTCTTGAATATTCGGCCAGTCACAAAATTAAACATTATGCATGATCAAACACTATTGCTCACAGACACAGTTATTATTCAAAAATGAAACCTACTATGAGGCTACACCAAAGAAAATCATTACATGATAAAATAAATAAAGATTTAACAAAAGAAAATCATTGTAGTTTAACTACTTTAATAGAAAACGTTTTGCTGAATAGCTCACTAACAACTTTGGTCAGAAAAAAAAAACTCACTAACAATTATGAGCTAATGTATTTAACTTTTTCTCTCCTAAATTCATTCTTAGTTTATACTTTATGTAAAACAAACATTAGTTTATAATTGGAACACTTCATATACTAAAAAGGTCTAGCTCAAATAGTTGAACACTTGTTGCAAGTCTCTTGGTATTATGTTAGGTTTCCATCTATCACAAAAAAAAAAACACTATAGAGTTACTGTCAGTAATTAAAATCTTCAATTTAATAAAGAAGTCAAATTATCAAATAAAATAATTATTTTAAAATTTTCCCAAATCTTAAAAATATTTCCAAATAAACACTTGACTTCACCAATAGTTATAGTGTGTTATTTGACTGTTTAAATTAGTATAATGTAGCTTGAATCATGTCATTCATGATCACCCTTAGACTCCTTAATTATATTTTAACATGGACCCACCTTTGCTTTTTGTCCAGAACTTAGGGGATGCTAGGAGAATCAAAATGAATAATTATTCATGAACACGTGACATCTAGACAAAATCTAGAGACAGAAAGAGATAGGAAAAAGAGAAATGTAAGTACGATAAGTAATGTGATATAACAAGAAAAGAAAGATAAAAGGAAAATAATAGATATCGATGGGGTGTATGATCACTCAGTCAAAATTTTCAAGGGAATACGATCCTTTTATGCAATTTCGGAACACGACAGGATGTCACGCGACCGAAAGATACAAAATATCTGTAGTAAAACTGATCATTATTTGCATAGGACCGGTTAATTTAATTTATTTCTTTCTTGCCCATAGCATAATATTCTCATGTTCGATGCTAACATAACAAAAGGAAGCAAATTGGTTAACAATTTTTACATTGCACGCAAATTAATTCATGTCATGAAAGGAGAACTGAGTCAAATGTTTGATGATTCACTTGGGCAATTCTAATTCATGCAATTCCACTATTCACCTCGTGCCTTGCAAAACGAAGGAATTTCTCCACAAAATAAATGTTGGCATTAGTGAATAATAAAGTTGACAAGTTGTGATTTAGTTGCCACTGGCCTAAATAAGAAGTCCCCACCCAACACCCAACACCCACCACCCAGCCACATACATCATTTTCATTTTGTGTTTTTCAGCATAAACTATGACTAATCAACAATTGACAACCTCTCCTTCCAATCATGCCAAAACCAATCTAAGCGAAGACACACCTAAATATGGAGAGAGAGAAAAAAAGAAGCTTGGATTTAAAAATGAACAGAGAGAGAGAGAGAGAGAGAGAGATAATAATATTAACCTGGTAAATCCCAAGGTTCGTATTTACAAAGCTCAACCTCGGGAATGACTTGAACACTGTCTTCATGGCCGTCCAACTTCTTCCTAAGGTAATAAGAAATCAACTCTTCATCGGTGGGACAGAATCTGAAGCCAGGAAACATGGAGGAAGCGGCGATTGACATCTGGGCTTCCCTGGAAACCCCTTCCATGATCCACCACCCCTTGTTTCTCCCAAAAAGTACTAGGTTTAAGGTTAGTTATAAACGACGTAGGTTGCTGTTGGAGGAGTTATTCGTTGGGGGCTATGATCTTTTGAGTGCGGTTGTGGTTTGCCTGGTTGTTTGTGGCACGCAAGCTGGCTCTGGTTGGTTCTGGCTTGGGAGAGTCGGCGAAGAATGTGTCAAGTCGTGAGGTTCCATTTCCATCGTGTCACGTGGCCTCCTTCTTTCGAACTCACTGCCACCGTTTCTTTCTTCTACTTTTTCTTTTAATCCACTCTCACTTTCACTATTCACAAATGCTCCTCACATCACACCATTCTTATTTTTAATCTTAAGACTTAATTGAATAGTCACAATGGGTGAAATTATTTGCAATTCAGACATGTACAGTCATACTGTATGTTTCTTCTTATCTATATGAATTAATATATTTCTATTGTATTAGTATAAATATAAATTCTCTTTGAAAAGAATACTTGATGCAACTTTCGCACAACAAAAGTTACTTTTTTCATGCACAAAGGTAACCTTTAGACAACGAACGGGGAAGAATACCTTAAACAAAGTAAAAGTTAGTCTTTCCTTGCGCCATAGGTTTAACATGAGGAATTTAAGAATGACTGTAACTTAAGTAATTCAACAGCATGCAATTACTCATGAATCAAAATTTGAAATAGTTATAGATTTTATTTTACTCCTTCACAGAAAAACAGATAAGTTCTCTTTTCAGTATTTAATACGTTTATTATATATTTAATATTCAAATTCAATAATATTATTGATTAAATTGAAATAACTCTTTATTAATATATTCACATGCTCATTGTATCGGTATTGCCATTGTGATTAGATATTTTCTTGTTATTATTTGTACTCGTCATTTAGGGTGCCTATGATTTCACATAGCGAAGAATTAAAATTAATTTTATATATGTTTGGATCCATGATGAGTTTATGGGACGTACGTCTCCAAAAACAATTTTTAATTGCTTTTACGTTTCTTTTGACTTGATTTTAACATAAATGTGTCATGGCACATGATCTAAACATAGTATATATCCTTTCTCAAACGTGATTTTAGTAAAGACAATTTTTTTATTAGGAAATTTAAAATAGATTTTACTTCCAAACTTCAGTTTCATTATAAATAATAGAAAGTAGTTGTTATTTTTGGTTGAAAAATATATACTAAATTTTACATGAAACTTGCTTTTAGCGTAAAAATTTCAAGTATAAAATGCTTTGAATAAAAGTCAATTTTGAGTAAAATTAATTTTACAAATCAATTTAAGTCAAAATTAAATTTCTAAACACTCACCTAAACAGACATTGGATATTAAAATAGAGATAAATGCATTAATATATTTAGATGCATATTTCACACACTATTCACACGACTAATCAAAATATTTTTCTTCCAATCATCTCAACTATTCACACGACTAATCAAAATATTTTTCTTCCAATCATCTCAAACTACCTTTTTATTTATATTTATGTGTTTGATTTTTTTTAATTGTCATTGTATTTTAATATGTAATCTTTTATCCCTACCTTCAAATTAAATTTCATGTTTTTCAAAAGCAAATATCATTTTTTTTTCTCACATTAGGTGGTGAGATGGTTGGAAGGTTCATTTTTCTTTTTAACACCTGCTTTTAACTTTACATCTACACATAAAAATTAAAGTTGTCAAAACGGGATAGCCCGGTTCATGTGGACCGGCCCACCTTGATCCACCTTAAAAATGGGTCAATCCAACCACCACGGGTTGGTGGGTTATGCGGGCCAGCCTACCAGCCCACCAAAAATAAAAATAAAAATTACTAAAAAAATTTTAAATTTTAAATTAATTGTAAATTAACATAATAGTCATAAAATTAGCATCATTAATAGCCATAAGTCATAACTTATCATACAAAATTAAATACAAATCATGATAAAAATTTAAAATAAAAATTTTTAATATCTCATCATACAAAATTAACTACAAATCATACTTAAATTTTTATCGCAAAAAAAAATTGGTGGGCTGGTGGGCTGCCCGGCCCACCACAGGTTCTGCCCGGGTGGACCGGGTGAAAGTGAGCTGGATTGAGATTTACCCATCTACTATAAAACTTCTTTTTTTTTTTTGCCCGGCCCGACTCGTTTTCAAGGTGGGCCGGGTTGGCCCACGGGTCACAACCTATTTTGACAACTCTAATAAAAATAAATAAATGAATAAAATAAACTTTTAGTGTGACATTTTTATCATGTATTACAACTTCGCTCTTCATGCCTCTTTTACCATGTGTTATTATACTTGGTCTAAACAATTTTTTTCTGATTCCATCACTACTTGTTGCCATGAGTGGTTTAGGAATTATATTTATATTGATTTTATGGTTGAGCCGTATTGGGCCAGTCTTAGTCTTGATTGTATTGGGTCTGTTGCTCTCTGTATTGTTCCTTGGAACAAAAATTGTTGGCCAAATAGGGAAGTGTCTTATATTCATCATTGTCTAATTTAACTAGTTCGAAAAACATGAGTAAAATTTTAGATTCGTCCCCACTAATAAAGGACAAAATAAAGGTAAGTTCCTCATAATTCTAAATATTTACATAGTTCCCAACTTTATAAAAAGTCTTTTTCTTTAACTGTTTATATTAGTAGAAAATGAGGTGATTGAGGTGGAAAAAAATTAAGTGAATAACTCTTTTACAAAGTCAAGCACAAAATTAGGTCGAAAAAGTTGAGAAGACACTGAGACTCATAATAGTTGAGATTAATATGAGAGTTTATTCAAAGAATCAAAAGTATATTGGCTCGCTGGAAAAGTAATATGTATTTGGAGGAGGAGAGTCATCATCTTTATACACGACTTTCTTTGTATGATCGAAAATGTAATAATATTATTGGTGGATCTAAAAAAAAAATTAAGAAGAAACATGAATTACGTTTAACTCAACGTTCTTTAAAACACACCAAAGTAAAGATGTTTAGGTTAAGTTTCATTTCTTGGATAATTAGATTGTGCTCAAATTCAAAGTAAAGCTCTAATATAATATATGTTCTTTTTATATAACTTTTACACATATTCCTCCGGACTTAAACATGGAGATAAACATAAATAAAAAAGAAAATCTCGTAAATGGTGAATTTAAATAACAATAAATTTTAATCGATTTTATCTTATTTAATTATAACATTCTTAAAATATCTTTAATTTCATTTATATTTTAATTCTATTATTGTTATCAAGTTTCACTACAAAAAATGTTCCATATAGTAACATATAAAAAGTGTCACTATAAGTATAATATATGTAGGTATATACGAATTTGACATATAGCTACATATAATTTTAATGTTGATTTTGAATGAGATTTAACAACATATTTTGTGTGTCACTATAATCTATACTTACACTTTTTAACAATATACTAACATATATTAAATTTATTGTGTGGGTAAAAGTAATTTTTAGTGACACATATTATGTCACTATAGAGTGTGTATCACTATATGACAATTTTCTTATAATGTTTGAATGAAAGGTAGTTTAAGAATATATATATATATATATATATATATATTAAATTTTATAATATTATTTAAAAACTCATGTTCATTGTAGTCTTGACTAATTGACAATATAAAGTTTTTATACTAACAATACGTACATTTTTATTTATTTATTATTATTTACCTTTCGATTGGTGCCTCTTTTCGTTTTTTACAAATAAGAATAAAATTAACCAAAGTGTATAGTGAATAGATTAAATATTAATGATTTACATATATTTTTAGTCTATAAAATTTAAGATAATTTTTTTTAATTTTTAAAATTATATATGTATATAATTGATTTGATTGATAATGTGCTCATGCTAAAATTAATTTGATCGTTTAAATATATAAGACATCATGTAGTCATTTTCAACATTTAAATACTAGCACGATTTACAATATAGTTTTCAATGATTAATTTATTGAAAAATCTTGTTAATGAATGTTATAAAATAAAGTAATTGGTGTATTTATATACATTTTCCTTGTGGCTTGATTTGACACGCATGTGTTAAGTCTTGCCAACAATGATTTATAATATTTGTTTTGCCTATAAAAGAATAGATGTTCTAAAGACTTAAGAAGTTAGTAAGTATAAAATATTTCTTTTAAAAAATGATCAAATGAAATTACATTAATTTTTTCATAAAGAATATTCACTATCAATTCCTTTACTAAAATATTTGATGTATTGAATTTTGTTTGTTTGTGAGGACATGATGGGTGATGTATCCAAATGGAGCCATTTATCTAGATGCCCCTGAAAAAGCAGTTATTAATTAAAGGGGAAAGATATGAATGTCTAGCTATAGATGCACTACACGTGCAACACATAACCATTTACTTTTGGAAATCATGTTGAAACTTTATTCATTCTCTAGAAAAAACGCAGACATGAATGAAATGGCTAGAGCCTTAAAAGTCAGAACTAGAACCATAGATATGATGATCATAATAAACCAAAAGGTAAATGATTCCCAGTTCCCCACTTGCTAATGGGCCAAAATCCCTTTCGTACCAAGGATCATTTTCTTCTTTTGGTCAAACACCACAATATTACTAGTTTCACATTCAAAATAATGATTGAATCATCCATTAAAAATATCTATAAATTAGTTTATTAGTTTAAAACCAAACTACACATGTTGCAATTAGGCTGACTCAATAATGACAGGGATGTAATGTAAAGTGAAATTTCAGAAAGTTTTTTTTTTTTTTTTTAAATTAAAAGGCTATACATTGAATCTTTATATGTGGCATTTTTTTTAAACAATCTAATAACAAATAATTTTTTTATTGTACCTAAAGCTTGAGTTTTAGTAGTGTTAGCATTGGGCCAAATCTTTACAAACCAATATATATTCAACCTTAACAAACATAAAAAAGTAGGTAGACATGTTAAGTTTTAAATAAATCCCTAAATTATAAAAAAAAAATGAATTGTAATTAAGTCTTTGCCTTTTTTTTCAAAATTTTTAATTAGA